AAATTGAATGAGTAATAATATATATGTACTTTATATGAAACCTTTACATTAATTTGGTTAGGTATTCTTTTATTTGGTCCACCTGGAACGGGTAAAACGTTGATGGCACGACAAATCGGCAAAATGCTCAATGCCCGTGAACCAAAGATAGTCAGCGGTCCTGAAATATTAAACAAATATGTGGGTCAATCCGAAGAAAATGTTCGTAAATTGTTTGCAGATGCTGAAAAAGAATACAAAGCTAAAGGAGATGAGTCGGGTTTGCATATTATTATATTTGATGAAATAGATGCAATTTGCAAACAACGTGGTGGCAGAAACGATACGACTGGCGTTGGTGATAGTATAGTTAATCAGTTATTATCTAAGGTTGTTGCATCCAATGATATGTTTGGCAGAAATAGAATTCGCACGTTAAATCTTTCTATGTTATCCAGATGGATGGTGTAGAGCAATTGAACAATATTCTCATAATTGGTATGACTAACCGATTAGACCTTATTGATGAAGCGTTGTTGCGTCCTGGTAAGTGCTAGACCTTTAAAAGTAATTGGTTATCATCATTTCCTGTCGCACAATAAGTGATATAATCAAAATTTACGCTTCAAACAGGTCGCTTAGAGGTGCACATGGAAATTGGATTACCAGATGAACGTGGTAGACTTCAAATCTTGAAAATTCATACAGTAAAGGTGGGTGTACGTGCAATATAATTCATGGGTTGTTTGTATTATTAACCATATATTCCTATTATCAATAAGAAAGATGTTGCAAAATGATATCATGGACTCAGATGTTGATTTAGAAGAACTTGCCAGTTTAACCAAAAACTTTAGTGGTGCGGAGATAACTGGACTCGTAAAGAGTGCTAGTTCGTTTGCGTTCAATAGGCACGTTAAAGTGGGGACACTTGCTGGTGTAACTTCTGATATGGAAAACATGAAGATCAATAGGGAAGACTTTTTATGTGCATTAGACGAAGTTCATCCCGCCTTTGGTGTAAATGATGAAGAGCTTCAACAATGTGTCCAAAATCAGATTATCCCATTTGCTAAAATAATTATTATTTGTCAAATTCTCAAGCCCATCCAAATTTAATTGATAAAATGCATCTAAGAATGAAGTACCTGAGTAGTACTAAATATTTGATTATTGAATGCCTATGTACCGAAAGAAAAATATATAAATTAATGGTTTAATAAACTATTACAAAAACAGTAGAACATTACCTCATAAAATATTTTTGACATCTCTTCAGTATCAAAATGCTCTTTATTCTCCGTGGTTTTTCTCAAAAAACCAACTTCTAAATCCAATTTTCCTAGATAAATGTTGGTACTCTCGAGACTAGGATCATATGGTGCAATAGAAACTTCTTGGCCCAAGGAAAGAGAGGCCCACCGTCGATGAGCCATCGAAGTTCCAATTTGGCGGGGAGGTTGGCTCTCCTCAGCCCTGTATGAAAATTCATTTTGAGTAATATACTTAAATGTACGAAACAATGGAAATTCTATGTAAATTTAAAAGTTTCATATTCATTGCTGCCTTTATCTCAGAAAAAACGTTGTGCTATAATTTGCTTATACAAATGTGTGATAAGAAAACCAATTGCATGGCTTTAGTATACATTGAATTAAAATAGATCGGATAGAGGCAGGAATGCAATTATACATAGTTAAAGGATTCTATGACAATACTTTATAGTAAAAACAAACTGATCTTCAACAATAACATAGCGAACAGAAGGATGGAAATCTCTTGGGTTGACAATTAAAAAATTTTTCAGTGCAAGTGCCTCGCTAGGGGATCTGCTAACCTTCACTCGAAACGTCTGAGGAACTGCAGGAACAAAGTTGGTATTTCTTGCATCTGATAAGTTTGGGGGAGGATAATGATCCATTGCACCTTGCCCAGTAATAAAGTTAATAGATTTGTATAAGATTTAAAACCTCTAGATCATAACGTAGCAGCGCTTTAAAAGTTTCGGAGCTATGTGCGCAAGCCACTCCGTGGCTATTTGGAAAGAGAAAAAAAAAAAACTTCGCGAGTTGCTCTCGGTCGGGGAATTGAACCCCGGTCTCCCGCGAGCTGTATATTGACAGGCGGGGATACTAACCACTATACTAACCGAGATGTTATAGTAAAGTGGACAATTTTTTTTTTACAAATAGTTTTACAGTATAAAATATATACCGGTACCAG